CATGACTATGTTTACTCCCAAAGACACTTATATTGTATTAAAAGTATTTGAAAATCTGCTAGGTCATATCCTAGCCAATAAAAACGGCTTTTGTCCTAATTTGCTACAAATTCTATGAGGGCCAAGCTGGATGTTACAGCATCTATGAGTCTGACCTATGGACACCATCACCATTTTAGAGAAGAATTTGGCCATTTAAAAATACCGCAGGGATCTGATCCAGCCTGTGGCAGAACCAGGCAATCTTGAAAATGTGAGCAGGGAAACAAGTGCCCAAATTCCCCTTCCCCCCACAGGTTGGACCCATGGGTGCCATAATGTCTAGTCTGGCGCTGAGCCAGTATTAGAGGAGATGGAATTTGGAAAAGAAAGGCACCAGAACCTACAGATTTAAAAAAACAAAAAAACGATAGTTAAGTGGGTGTTGAAAAATGTATTGTGAAGACCAGGGGTCATTTCGTAGAAAAAGAGCTAGGGGAACTCATTAGCATAACTCATTAGCATATGCCACACCCCCTGACATCACCGGAAGTGTGTCCTCCCCACAGCCAGCAGTGACATCCAGCGGGCACCAGCAGGGAGCTCCAGGCCCCGCCCTCCCACACCTCACCCGGGGGGATGGCGTCCCCCCACGTCCCCCCCAAATGACCCCTGGTGAAGACTACTGTACCACTTGTCCCTTGCTACACAGTCCAAGCTTATTTAGATTATGGCTGCCATACTAAACACACATACTCAGGAGTAAGTCCCACTGAACTCAATCAGATTTACTTCTGAGTATACATGTTTATGATTGCACTTTAAGTGTACTATAGACATTCAGTGAAATGGAAGATATATCTTTGGGGATGCATACTGCTTGTCCACAGAACCTGGTTATTTCTACTACTAAGAAAAACCTCATAGCATTATGGGTATGCAACCATCAGACTGAACATAGACATTGAACATGTTTTAGAAAACTGACCAAATTTTATAATTCTATCATAGCATCACTTATGCACACCAGAATAGACACTCACTTTGAATTTTGACATACTGACATACTTGTACTCTGACAATTCTACATTTGTTTACAATTGTAAAAAAGACCTGTAAGCTTACTTGTCTTCTGATTCCTGGTTCTCCTCCTGTGTTGGTTGTTTTTACAGTATTTTCAGAAGACCGCAAACAATATTAGATTTTAGCTGGATTACTATAGTGTCAACAAAAAACTGAAATTATTTAAGGCAACTAGAAATTGCGAATGACCACTGCAGTTTGCTAATACTTCATATAGTCTTTGGGTGGGGCGGGGGAGAGATCTACATTCAACTACATTCTGAATAAGATTATCTACAGAAAACCCAAATGAACTATTAATGTTTCACCAAGTTGTATCTTTAAATCTCTTCTAGGATATAACTTACCTAGGATTTCCAAAAAGGCAGTGAAGAAAAAAGAAAAAAAAGTTGATTTCCAAATTTTGGATAGATTAATAAAGCATAGAAATGGGGGAAACTTGAGATATATAAAATCAGAAGAAAAAAGTTAAGTTCCTGAAAATTTTAAATTCAGATTTTGTAACTAAGTAGCAAAGCTATATAGAAAAGTTTCTGTAACAGAAGAATGTTAGTTCCAGGGAACCAGAAGCCACAGTCACTATTTCCTCCCAAGCAGTAAGATCCTGTCTGTTGCGCAAAACATAGTGTTAATGAATGAGCAGGGGGTGGGGTGGGGGTGGAAAGCTCTCTTTGGGAAAAGCATTTCTGAAAAATCTATTAAAATATCATGTTTCCATTTTCACTATCACAACTCTCTACTTGGGCCTACAGTTCTCAGAAACAGGTTCTATTTTCAAGAAGCCATTTAATCAAGCATGCCTGCACTTCATGGGAATTTGAGATCTTTATTGCACCTCAGGACAATTTTTCAGAAGTGCAAAGCAACTTGCACCAGTAGAGGTGCTGCTGATGGAACTGTCAGGAGTGGTAATTTCTTCTGCATTTCCCTGCTCAGTGCAGCTGCCTGCATTGTGTGACTATTCATACACACACTGGGATTCACAAGTGATTGCTGGGGAAAGTAGGAAAATCTACTTCCATCAGCATCTTCTACTACATAGAATCCTGCCACTGAATTTTTCTATCACAAATAATTTTAATCTAAAAGCTGCTCTTCAACCCATGGAAGAACTTCTTTCATGAGTGGAAAGGGTATCATTGGATCCATTTAATTTTTCCATGGATGTTTTAAAAAATCTAAAATCTCACTGGAAAATCTATGTTTCTGTAATATATAATCCTAATGTATTCTTTTGTACCATCAGTATCATCCAAAAAGCAAAAATAACTACAGTAAACTGCTCTTTCCTTGGCAATGCTACTGAGTACAGCAAATTACTTCTCTAATCTCAGTGAAGTTAAAAGCTCAAACTCAAATAAGAGGTTAATAGGCTTTTCCCCTCTTACAAAGCCAGCAAATCTCCATTAGCCTAATAAGATTTTTTTGGATACCTTAGCAGATTTACAAGACTTCTATGTTACAAAATTGGCTATATAAACCAAACTAAGTGTGATGCTGTTACTCACAACCCTTTGGAAAAAGATTTTTTCCCCAATTAATAGACTAAGACCACCATACACTCAAGCGTAATGAGCAGCTCAAATTTACGTTTAACTAAATAGAATTATTTACAAAAAATGAGACAAGCATGCTTTCTTATAACTGATCTCACAGGGGGAAAAATCACACATTTTTGGTTTTACACCACAAAATGACAATACTCATTTTAAACATTTGAAAGTACAATTAGTGATCTCTCCAGTGTCATTAATTAGATGCCGAAAATTTCCAATTGGAAGCTTCCATAAATAAGAATAAATAAAATCATGCAAATTACCAGCTAGGTAAGAAGTATTACTCATTTACAGAAAGCAGAATCAACTAAAAGGCCACATCTTGCGACATTCATACAGTACTGCTTAGTCCCAGTCTCAAAATTAATATTGGATCATTGAATCATTGGGGTAAATATAAGTGATCCTGTCAGTTGTCTCTGTTCACTCTCAACCATTACTATATGGCTTTTGTATACCTATGTCTCATGAACTCCAACATAGCTTTTGGTGGGTTAATTTGTTTTTTCATCAGCAGAAAAACTGTTTGAATCTCACCTTATCTTATAGAAGATCTCTAACATACCTATGGACACCCCATGACCGAAGATACTACAAAGACCTGTCATGCTCTCACTTCCTTACTGTGCTAACTATAGCTAATATATCTGGTCATTATTTCATGTGTTGCTCCAGCACCTTAATTTTTTCAAGAGCAAAACAGACTCATGCACAGTTCTTGCATTGGGAGAAATGTTGGGTTCTGCTTTGAAGACTGCTAAACTGGTTAGGAGGATTTTTTAAAAATAATTTTTTATATCTGTAACATTACTGTATTATAGATCTCTGTTTACATTACTCCAGGCACATGTTTTGTTGCTTTCAGATCTAGCCATGGTTATTATATCCCACTCCATACGTGCTACTAAGTAGTTAAGTACTGCCCGCTTTCTCCAGTTTCATTGTTGAGTAGGAGAAAACAGGAGGAGAAAACAGAAAAGTGTTAGGAAAACTTAAAAGAACTGTGTAAATTTATTGAGTTAAAATGTATTGTTCTGACACCCCATGGCTCTTCATATATACTAGATTTATAATGCAGTATACATTTTTCAGTTGTCTTTCCTGAGTTATAGTAAATTGTAAGCAAGAGGACTAGTAGGCCCTACATATACTAAATTATAAAACCATATTTTATAAAGTAATTACTCCAATAATTCCTGTAGGAGATTTAAAAAAAAAAATCCAGCACTTTGAAGATAGTGAAGTTTTAATGTCCACAGAAATATTCTTATGAGAGGCCTAGAAGAAAATTAAGCTTCAGAAGAAAACTGTTCTTTCCAACATTCAAATATCAACATTACAGGTTTTATTACATCCTGGAAACAAATGAAAGTGCCACAGCCTCTCACACATTTAAATACAATATTTTACTTTCTGTTTAGTACAATTTCAAACAAAGTGCAAAAAATATACATAGGCCTAAAATCTCATACCATGATTTACAGTGCCGTGTCATGCCACTTTTGGCTCGCCACCTGCATTTCATGCTGTGGCTCTTTGGTCTTCACCACATGTATTGGAGGGGAAAAGCACCTGCTCTAATTCCTTTTTACCAGTCAATTTTCCTGTATGGAAGACTGAAAGCAGTATCAGGATTCTGCCATCTTAATGCAGATGCTTTTCTCTCATTAACAGCAGTGGGGGAAGTGAAGCGCCCATTTATGGGGAAGTATTCCATCTTTTATGGTTTCATCATTTGATATATTTAAGCCATTACCTCCAGGGAAAAAGGCCTATAACAATGTTTGATGATTTTGTATTTTGTTTGTTATCACTTTCACTGCATCTAGTAGTAGCTGAGCAAAATTCATATTGTTACAGTCGCACTTCTATTCACATTCAGTTCCCTTTTATTATAATACTGCACTTTATATCACAAATGTATAAAAATATGGCAGATAGTGTCATAACAATACTTTTCTTTTAACTGAGTTATATTTTAAAAAAGACAATTATTTTCCACTTTTTATATATATATTTAT